ATGCTTCCCTAGCAGTTGATTTAATAGGGGATATGAAGTCAGAGATTGTAAATGAATTCAATATTGTATGAAAGTTATGAAGCCTCGTGAACTTCTCAAGCTGTTCTGAGAGTCGGAGCCATCGGTGTGGGCACTTCTGAGATACGATTTCAATAAAAACAGCTGTTTTGTCTCTAACAGGCCATTAAGTAGGAAACGCAACTTCCTATTTCTATTTGGTCATCTCAGTGGTCTATCCGGGCTGAAAACTTGCCGTTCATAACAATCTCCCCACGGGCAGAGAAACTTCAGCTTCAGCTATTAGCGCATAAGATATTAGGTGATTCCTCTTGGTTCTGTGATTTGAGAAAGGAATAAAGGGCCCCCCAGATGTGTCAGTTCTTGTCAGGAAAAGAGCAGCAGCTGGGAAAACAGCACCTCGGGCCTTCGGTCATGCTAGTAAGCAGTCCAGTCACTGACTAACAAAACCGCTCTCTCTGTGACTGCGCTTCCGCAAACACCTGTGCAGTGTGCCCTGCAGGGCGCTAAGCAATAACTTACCAACTGCGCTCCTCCTCCCACGGCGTGGATTTCTAGCACCATAATAAATAAATGTCACCGAAAGCGTCACAAGTTTATAATTCATTTTGACCACTAAAATACTAGGAGGGAATTTGCTAAAGATGCTACGTTTAATATCCACAAACTATGACCAAACGGCGCATAAATAATTGCATCCCGGGCATGATGAGGATGTTTTATTCTTGGCCTCCATTTGTTCCATCGATGTGATCTGGCTAAGGCTTCACCATCTATAAGTGTAGAGAAGCACTGACTCATAGAACCCACCACAGTGACAGACAGACTGGAAATCAGTATTATCCAATACCGCCACAGCCAAATGAGCTAGCAAGGACTTAGATTCAGGACCGGATCTGGCAACTGAAGGTGGCGGTCAGTCTTTGGTAGGGATGTCTATGGAGCCCTTGGAGGATGGGAGCTTATTATGGAGGTCAGATGAATAAATGGGCAAAGTAGAGAGTGATGTAACGGGCAAGTGAGGAGGTGGGGCGTACCGGGATAGGTGGTTAAGCAGAGGACCACCATGAAGCTCTGCTCCCCAAACCAGTGATCCAGCAATGGGATGAAGGGGTGAGGACTGTGGTTGGCTTTTATTAGGGGCAAGCGGTGTGTGAAGCTGAAACCCTCTGCATCTACAAAAGCAGGCAATACAGCGAGAGTAGACGCCAGCTCCTTAGGCAGGAGTCGAGATGTCTGTGGTCTTGACAGTGTAACTGTCACCCAAATGCCAAAGGAAATCATAAGAATTGTAAAATCGTATTTTTCTCTGGAATTTCGTAAGATTCCATAATGCTACAAAGAATGTATTCTATTATTTCCTTTAACAAGAAATTTTATAAATTTATATTGCTTAGATTGCTTTGTCCAAAAAAAAAGCCATATTCACAAATTTCTCTGAAACAGTTTCTTAGAGCTAACTTTAGGTTACAAATTCCAAAATGCTAAAATGTCATTGCAAAATATACACTCTGGGGCTGGAGAAATGGCTCAGTGGTTAAGAGCATTGCCTGCTCTTCCAAAGGTCCTGAGTTCAATTCCCGGCAACCACATGGTGGCTCACAACCATCTGTAATGGGGTCTGGTGCCCTCTTCTGGCCTGTAGACATATACACAGACAAAATATTGTATACATAATAAATAAATAAATAAATAAATAAATATTAAAAAAAATATACACTCTGTATTTATATATAATCATACTAATCAAAAGTTAAACATGGCCGAAATAATAGCATTTTAACTGATTGCATATTGAGTAGTTAGCTTCATTTTACAGGTAAGAACAAAGAAGCCTAAAATATATGGGACTTAACATAATTTTCCCAACCACGGCCCCAACCTAGGTCCAAGCCATCCTACATTTGAAGCAGAAGACAGGCTGAAGACACACCAGAGTATTTGGGGTTATCCTATGTATTATAGAAACAGCAAAAATAGAACATTCACTTTTTATTGTTTTTCTCATGACACAAAATAATTATACATATTTGCCACATACAGCGTGATGTTTCATGTATACATCATATAGTGAACAAATAAGAATAATTAGCAAAATGAAAAATGCTAATAGCACGCCTCATTAGGGACATGGAATTGAATCCCTTTATACCTCCCAATTCAGAAGCCACATCTTTATATTTTGAATTATACTTCCCCCTCATTTTTTTCAAAAGTGTTTTGTTAGTATCCTGTATGCTAGAAAATCTGACCCAAGCAGACAAGGTTTTTGTGTATTTAATACCCTTTTTAAAAAATGTCAGACTTTTGTACAGTGTTTCCAAAAGTCTCCTCCCTATTACAAATAGAAAAGACAGTGTGGACGGTGTAAAGAAAAAGCGGTGGTCTTCCGGGACTTAGCTGTTGAGACCATCAGTGTATTCAAATACCGCCATCAAATTTTTAGGATTAGCTGTAGGCAGTCGGTCCTACAAACCATCAAATCTTGACGATATGTTTGCTGATATATAAACCAGGCCCCATATTTCGCGTGAGTTGAAGGCACGGACTGTTAATTCAGTCCATGGGAAACCTGACAATGGTCTAAAGCACAAATGGCCAATCTTGTGGTTGCTGTCCTCCGATCAGTAAACGATTCAGGAAACCCTCGAAGATTAAAAGTCAGATCAGGCACCACGTAGTCCACTCAGGCTGCGTGAGCCCGTTTCTGGAAGTAGTAACGGTTTCTCAAAATGAAGTCATTTATATTTTTAGCTCGACGGTGTGCGGCGAGTGATTTCTTGAGAGCCAGGCTCCCTGTGGCACTGTGCCAAGACCAGCTCTATTTGTTTTTCATTTGGCTTTTCCTTATCATGCTGGTAGATACCTGGATCATTCCGCCTCCTCCGAGACGGCTGGCATAGTTTAAGCACAGGCATGATGCTATGAGTAGGTGGCATACTTCCGTTCAGTGAATGCCCATCTTAGATCTCTGACGGTGGTGCCAGTCTCAGGGCTTTAATCTCCTAACAGCAGCCAATTAGCCATTTATAACGCGGTCTGATATCAAACTGCTTACATCCATCCATTCTGGTACTTGACGGAAAAGGCATTAACCTCACTCTGTACCAATCTAGACCCTGCCCTCTCTCTTTTCTTATCTCGGAAAAGGCGGCTAGGTCCATCTCTGGCCCCACTCTGCATTGCTCTTCCTCCTACAGGTTCAATCTCCAACTAAACCTGCTTGATGGGTTCAATGGTTTTCTGCCTTCCATAGCTCTTACCTAAATCCATGCCCCTGTCACGTGAAAACAATCCTCACAGTCGTCTTCAGGACCCCAGGGCTGCCCTTTGTAGACTTCTCTAGCTCATTTCCTTTGCCTTGAACATCTGTGAGTACCCGTTTTCCTCCATGACCAAGCAGTCTAGCACTTCTTTCACAAGTATCTTGTGTTACACAATAATAGAATGGAGCTTGGTTTATCCAGAAAAGTGAAAAAAAAAGAACAGAAATACAAATTCTTGGGCTTCCCATCCATTCCTCAAGTCTTCCATCTTTTATTTTTGTTTTAAGGGAATGTAGTTCCTGTGCTCGTTTAAGGACCACACTATGGTCATGTGATACGTGTGTATAATAGGTAATAATCAAGTATGTCAATTAACATCACTTCTTAAATCTTCTTATGTGTTGGAAAACATGAAATTCCTCTAATAATTTTGGAATTTATAAAACTGTTACAGAATATAGCTTTTCTACTGTGTGCATTCCTCCGTCTATCAATACCCCCACACACACAGCCACGCCTCGTAGTCTTACAACCTCTTTCCTGCTTTCCAGCTCCCAAAAGTCAGTGAGAACAAGTGGCTGCCTTATTCCACTTGGAATGTTAGACTCTTTGATTTAAAGAATGAAATTTAGGAACAAAATGAGCAGCAATCTCTGATTTTCCGTTTTCAATATTGGTCAGGGACTTCAAATAATCAGTCGTGATCTGAGGCTTTTAAGAGTGGACTAGTCCCTGGAGAATGCATGGCCCCCAGCCTTTTCATCTTATAGGGAAGAAAACTGAGGTCCAGCCATAAAAGTCAAAATGATCTTTCTAAATTTATAGTTTCATCAATTAACTCTTTTCTAAGCCTGCTTTCCAAGGACGGCCAAAATGGATGCAAACTATCACTATGCCACACAATGTCTGTTTAGTCTAGCCTGGGCTTACTTTTCCATCCTTATATTTTTTTATTTTTCTCTTCATTTTATCCCCTGTATACATGTCTGTTTGGTTGGGTCTTTTGTCTTCCTCTGGGTTATTGCCCGTGGTTTCTTCTTTGTCCTTGTTTTGGGTCCTAAGCATACTGCAGATATTTGATGATATATCGTCTTCTCCATAACTATGCCCCCAATGCTCTCGGGGTTCCCAAGCTTCACGTGGTACCCATTTGTAATATCCAGATGGGAGGAGTGACGACAGTTGTTAGCAGACACTTGCACCTCATTCACGGTTCCATCCCCATATTGTAAGAATCTGACATTCGATATTTTGAAATGAATTATTTTTACTTTTAACCTGCCATGGCACGTGTCAATTTTTCCATCAGCCCTCCTCACAAAATCTATTTTCAGATTAGCTTTCAAAGATAGATTGATTCATTCACATCCTTCTGTAAGTCACTGATAACCCTGAATGGCATCCCTTCCTGGAAGCCTTGGAAGCACATGCACTTTTACAGAAACAGAGTTCGAAGTCGGAGGAGTGACTCTTCAGTGTAGGAAAATTTAGCCATGAACAGTAAGGCGTGAGAGCTGTGTGTGAGGGAAGGTCGGTACCCACAGCCTTCAAATCAGCCTCACAGGTGACCTATTCTTCCCTCACACTCAGAAGAGGATGACGCTATTTTGGGGTTATAAAATTCGGAGTACTTGTTGTTTTTACTTTATGTAACGCTATTATTTCACATAGTATAAATGCTGAATTCATCATGGAACATTTCTGGTTTGATTCCAGGGAAGCAATGTTATGGAAGATCAGGATTTGTTGGAAATTGGTATCCTTAATTCTGGACACAGACAGAGAATCCTACAGGCGATCCAGCTCCTTCCAAAGGTAAGGGATGCTTTCCCAGGATTACCTTATGAATGATTCCCAGTGACTTACAGCCAAACATGGAGCAGTATTTGCATGAGCATACAGTGTTTCTACATGCTTCTGCAGCCTATAAGAATGGTCTTAGGCCCCACTTTCATTGCACACAAAAGACTGACAGAAACTTCACTTGGGTTTAAACTGACCTACAAGAATGCAATATTGGAAACGCTGCAGAACAGCAGAACAGATTCAGAATACCTCTACTGTGTGAGTCCTAACTCTCGTACAGTTACAGCTGAGGTCAAGGAAGATGGGATTCATGTTGAGTGAATACAGTAATATCCTTCAGAGAAAAGCTTCATGGATAGGAGATCTTACGTTAGCCATAATTCTAACAGAATTAATATCTAGAATATATAAAGAACTAAAAAACATCGAATGTCCCCAAGACCAAACAACCCAATCAATGGATAGGTTAATGAAATGGAGAGGTAGCTCTCAAGAGATGAATTAGAGATGCCAGCAGTATGTTGAAAATGTCCAGCATCCTTCATCGTTGTGTTAGATGGTTTTATGTCCACTTGGCACAGGCTAGTCATGTGAGAGGAGGGAACCTCAATTAGGAAAACCAATCCTACCTAAGACATCAAGGAAACCCATAGTCAAACTAGCTCAAGATTTCATCTCGTCCCACTCTGGGTGGCTAGCATTGAGAAAACAAACAACAACCAATGCTGGAGAAGATATAGGGAAAGAAAATATTTATGTACTGTTGGTAGGGATGTAAATTAGCCTTTTTACTGCTCCAAAAGTGCCTTCTAAAACTCCAAACAGAACTTTTGTCACCTAGCTAGACACAGATGGGTGTGTGTCCAGAGAGCTCTAAGTTAATATACTACACAGAAACCCGTGTACTGCAGCTATGGGGTCAGTCTACGTATCCGTTAACATGCGAATCGATTTTATTTATTTGTTTGGTTGGTTGGTTTTGGTTTTTCGAGACTGGGCTTCTCTGTGTAACAGTCAGGGCTGTCAGGGAACTCGCTTTGTAGACCAGACTGGCCTCAAACTCACAGAGATTCACCTGTCTCTGCCTCCCAAGTGCTGGGATTAAAGACGTGCACCACCACCACCTGGCATGAATCAATATTTTTAGTGTTTTTTGTGTATATATATACATATATATAATATTGTGTATCTATACATATGATAGAGGTTCACCACAAAAAAATGAGTAAAATTGTGTCATTATCTAGAGTAAATATGCAGCTGAAATCATCACATTAAGCCAAATAAGATATGGCATCTTTTCTTTCATTTTGGGGTCCTGGAATTCTTTATGTCCACACATACACATGAGCGACATGAAAACAGAAAGAAGGGAAGAGAGAAGACTATCAGACAAACAGTGGGAAGGAGGCTAAGGGGAGAGATGGGTATGGTCAAAATCCAGGATATACTTAAAGAATGTGTCTATATAATAGCCAACACTATATGCAACGAATATACACTGATAAGAATATTGGGGCAGAAGAGCCTCATGCTCCCTTAGAAGTTTCATCTCTTGTAGAAACGTCAAGAGTGAGCCTCTGGAGTCCCTACAAGGGACTCTAATGATGCCTGATAACAGAAGGCATCCTTTGCAGAGGTCCACAGTGTCCCATCCCATCGTGCATTTGCAGTTGATCGGTAGTTTTTCCAGTCTCCATGTGATCTGTCAACCGGGTATCATTTTTTACTGGAAGCTGTGTAACCTAGCAACGGAGTTGACCTTATGTTTCCAGAAAAGGTCTGAGAGGCACTTAAAGGAAGTGGTAGGGTGTAAGTACCAGCCTTTCAAGGTAGTCGGATTTTAATTGGTGAGGGAAGGAAAAGGCACGTCAGGAGGCCAGAAGGAACTGTGTCATTACAGGTGTTACCCAGGCAATCACTTTCTTGGAAGCATTTGGGAAATAATTAGTCATTTTAAAAGCCAGGGAGATTGGCACAATAGCACAAATGTTCTTAATGCCTTGGAACTGTATGGTTAAAATATCTAAGTTGGCAAGTTTTACGTGTATTTACCACGATTTCCAAAATCATCAGAATAGAAGAAAATGCAAGGTGCTTAAAATAATTGAAAGGTGTGCGGCCCGTAGCCAAAGATAAAGCAGGGAGAGTGGATTTCTTTCATTTCTTCAGGGCTAAGGAATTTGAATGTGTTTTGTAGGCACTGGGGAATGCCTATGACTAGAATCCTCTATTCTGCTTAATTCTGGAGGCAATTTACCAGAGGAATTGAAGGAGAGAAAGTTGAAGCAGGGTCTGCCAGCTGGGAAAAGATGAAGCAAGGCAAGATTGGAGCAGGTGAACTGGAATGGGGGCACCTACACCCACCGGCGTTTCCAGTGTCTTCTCCCTTTTTCTCTCTTCCTGTCTAGGGAGGGTTGAGTTTTTCCTCAGACAGAGAGTAATGAATATTAATCATAGTGTCTAAGGAAGTGATATAATGAAATTTGCCCACTGACGGCGATCTGAGTTTCTGCCGACAGAAAGTTAACACATTAACGAATCGAGGAGAGCCAAGAGCTTAACCAAGGGAAAGAATGAAAATTTCTCTAGACTTAATTCTCAAGTGATTCCCATGCGCACGTTATTCACCTCGCTCCTTAGAGTATTGTTCCCTTAGCAAATGTCCTACTTGCCTTCTGCAAGGGCTTCTATAAAGCCATGGCCAACACCCAGGGTAGCCCCAGACCCGTAAACAGCTAAGTGCTCCACAGATCAGCGAACCTCCCACTCCACAGTGCTGCCATTATTTAAAGCTTGCTTCAGACGCTCTCAGCGCCCTTCCTCTGAGAAACTTTGCCTAACCTGTGACCACTTCTCACTACACCAGCAGTTAGAAATCTAATGTCCACATCCACCTCCCTCAGTAAGCCTGCCAGCGAAGATTCTGATCTGTTGTCACGGTTAGGCAGCCGGAACCGGTTTTCCACGGATCCTCTCCACCTGGGGCCCTTCACTGACCTGCATTCTCCCTCCTGATGGCTCTCTTTGTCTCTGCACATGGATTTCCACAGTGTCTCCACTGACCCTTCTAAACTATGACTCCCATCACATTACCCCACACTGCACATTGCCAGTGTGGTTTTCTAAGCCTCCAGACTTAGAAGAAAGTCCTCGCCTTGGTCTGCAAAACTCAGTAAGATCTGACCCTTTCCGACCTCGTGATCTTATTTATCATTTATCATTCTCTGCTACGCTCTAGTCGGTGACTTTCTCTTTGTTATTCAAAGTGACAAGCTCATTTCTGTCTTGGGAGCTTTGTTTATCCTTCAGACCCCCATCCATTCCTAAGGATTGAACTCAGACACCCACCCCACAGAGGTTTTCCCAGCCTGGGAGTATCTACCTGGGAGCTATCATCCCTTTAAGCGCGCCTGCTTTATTTTCCCCACAGCAGCTGTGGTTACCTGAAGTTCTCTTGTTTCTTTGTTTTGTCATTGTTTTTCATCTTGCTGAGAGGTAGCCAGTCCCGTGCACCCAGGAACCTTGACTCCTTTTCTCCTTTTTCTACAGTCAGCCCCTTGACAGTTTCTGGCACCAAGCAGCTACCCAGGAAGTATTTGTGGATTGAGAACATACAGTAATCTCTCATTTATTTGAGATTTTTATGTCCTTCTGCTTGCTTGTATCTGATGATACTGATGATAATTTCTCACGTGACATAAACATCCTAATGGCAGAGATCACTCGATACCTTGAAGCCTTCTTGTGCTTTGCCAATAATATGACCATTAAAAGAATGAATGAATGAGTGAATAAATGTTGCCTCGTATACCATTCAAATATTTTCAAGACTCAGAATGCCTCAATTTGAGGATAATTCTGTAGTCATCCACATACAATTTTGTGAGAAACAACAGCAACAACCAAAAGCCTTAACCTAGAATGATTTGGAGAATAAATCAAATGTTTGTTTTGAAGAAAGGATATTATTCCCATTGTAGAGAGCGACTCTACAGAAACAATGCAGAATTAAGCTGCACTTAAGAGGCTGTCTCGGAAGCGTCTACTGCGTGCACACAAATGAGTAGAGAATGTGTAAGAATAGCCAGATCCCTCCTCCACAGCACAGCAGACAGCTACAATGCGGCAAACTGGCGCTTAGCCTTCATTGGTAACGGGCCCCATCTTCAGAAGGCTAATAGTGTAATGTTAGTGCTGGGACCGCCATCTGCATTGACTGTGGCTTTGCACTGCTGGAATAAGTGACAGAATGTGTCTCTTCATTTTAGTCACACCATTTTGGTCTTCAGAGTGTTTGTGCCTCTCGTCTATCATGGGAAGCTTTCCATAATCGCTGTCTGAGACACCTCCGTAACATGCAGTATTTGGGAATGGTGAGGTTGCTCCCAAACAGGGAAAAGATGGTCTTCAAAGTACAACCTTGATCCGTTGACTTGTTTCAAAGCATGGTTTATTTCTGTTCCCATCGATTCGTATTTTAAAGAAAAATAACTTCTTTGGCAAGATTTCACCTGCAGTATGTCAGTTTTAATATACACCAGTGCAAAGGTCCTCAAGTGTACAAACACAGTTGATATGTCCATGGAGTAGTGTACACAGTGTGTATTCTAGCCACACTCATCTTCAGGAGGATGATGGCATTGAGTCAACCCCTTTCCCCACTTAATTCGCCTCTGTCTTTTGTGTTGTTTGGCCCCCAGCAGTAAAGCATGCCCATCAATTCTCACACATCACCCACTTCCTCCACCAGTCCCAAATAAGGCTTTCGTCAAGCCTGGAAGTTTCCCTAAGCTTTTGAAGATCAAAACCTCATCCTCTTCCCTTTATGGGAAAAGAACCATGTCAAACCTCCGGGTGAAGTTCTTTTCTCTCTTAGACGCTAGACAGGTTGTACTTTTTCTGTCCCTTAGACACAGGGAAATTGTCTGATCATTGGTTTGCAACGTGTTATTTGCCCTTTTTCAGGTAAGAACCCCATGGATAAATCTTTAATATGCTTTCCTTTT